CTGTTCTATATTTTGCCCACAAACGGGCGCCAAAAAAAGAGATACAAATGCGTGATATGTAATTTGAGATGTTAATTTCTATATCCATGGGAATTGAACAATGTATTGTAAAGAAAGGTAACAAAATTCCTAATTTTATTGGTCCATGTGAGGCTTACGTGACTTACATTGTTAATGTTGTTGACATGAAAGATAATCAGGATATAAAATTGGGCGTATTTAATAGCTGTATGTAAACACCTGTCGGTAAAAAACACGCATTCTATACTCTGTCTCAAGATCAGTAATATTTCTTTTCAACTTGAATATTTAGCTTTAAGTTAAAGGTGAAGTAGTTGAAAAACTATGAATTATGGCGAAACTAGTCCTCTATACATTGCAGGGCTAAAAGGAAAATGAATTTTACAACATTGTAAAATTCAACGACATAGCTTTAGTTTTTATTGATATCATAAAGTATTGGTGGCTACTTCAGCTGTTTGAATAGTGTGGTAACTGGATGTAAAATGAGCCGCGTCACAACAAAACCAACATAGTGGGTTTCCGACCATCATGGATCCAGACCAGCCTGCGCATCCGCACAGTCTGATCAGGATCCATGCTGTTCGGTATCAGCTTCTCTACTTGTTATAGGGTTTGTAAGCGAAAAAGCATGGATCCTGATCAGACTGCGCGGATGCGCAGGCTGGTCTGGATCCATGCTGGTCGCAAACCCATTATGCTGGGTTTGTCATGGCGTGGCTCAAATATTTCATATTCAGACGTGTCGACCACTATCCCTGAAACGTTTATTTCATTTATACAAGATAATATGATTTAAACATATTTTGGTATTAACAAAAGATATGCAAATAATCCTTAGATAATAAAACCAAAGTTAATAAAACACTTGATAAAACAGTTGACAAGTTAATACAAGGTCTAAGTTACAATTAAAATTTATTAAGTAACACAGATATTAACCCTGGTTAAAGAATACAGTACATCTTGTTTGTTAATAAACAGGAAAAAACATACTTTTCTTAATCATAAATCTTGTAAAAAAGACACCTGTTAATCTACGAACGTTCAAGAAAGAAAACGATACTAATACAACACTATACAATAACCTTATAACAGCAAAAATTAAGTGTTGTCAAACTGTAGTTGACTATCTAATGTGACGGTTTATTATTATTGTGTTTACCTGATACAATGTGGATTTTAGTCGACTATTTTATGTGAATCCTATGTTTGAAGCTTCGTTATATAACCCTAGGTGACAGTATCGCTGTTTGGACACCCCAACCCTATCTGCCCCTGGACCCCTACTACAACTCTGAAAAAATCAACATTTTATAGAAAGGTGAAAAGCCTACTATATGTTCATTTGCCAAACAATGTGGAACACGGGAAATCGTCGTTTCGGCAACTGAGGCGCATTCCGGTGGGATTTCGCTGCATTATTAATTAATATCAATAAAAAGAACTGGAATTCCACAGTTTACCTAATTCATGTCCAACGAATATTCTATCGATTTTTTATGTTTCACTGTATTTTTTGACTTGTCGCTGCCATTTTGGATTCTGATATCTGTGTGATATACGCGATCTGATTGGACGTCCAATTTGGCTCGTCCAATCAGATCGCGTATTTCAACCCAGGCTGCCAGGCTGCCAGGTTGCTAACTTCACAAATTTCGAAGCGTCAAAATGAAAAAAAAAATAAAGTTCAATATTTAAAAAAATACATATCGCAAAATTAAAATAAGACGTGGAATGGCCAAACTCTTAATTTAATGTTCAAAATACAGCAATATTTTTTGCAATTCAATATTTTAAAAAATAAAGATCGCGATATTGAAATAAGACGTGGAATGGTCTAAGTATGTGCTACCGATTCATTTCCGACGGTTTTGATGTTTGTACTATCCTTAGTTTTCTTTTGGCTGCAAACCTGCCAACTTCAGGCTGCTAGGCTGCCAGACTGCCAGACTGCTAGGCTGCTAACTTCAAAAATTTCGAAGCGTCAAAATGAAAAAAATAAAGTTCAATATTTAAAAAATATATATCGCGATATTAAAATAAGACGTGGAATGGTCAAACTCTTAATTTAATGTTCAAAATACAGCAATATTTTTGGCAGATGACTAAATTATCGTTTGTTATTGATAACTTTATTAGTTCGATATCACAACCAAATGTTTAACTAAATCAACCTTGAAATAAGACGGATTTTTGTTCGTGTTTATCACCTAAAAGTTCTTCGTGAGTTTCGATTCGGACGCTTATTAATAAATTAATAAAGTTTCTCTTCTACGATACAGGTTAAGCTACTGCTGGCATTTCAATGAGACTTCACTTGAGTGATCATACATAGTTTTGGGAGACATATGTTTTTGTGACGAAAACCCCTGTATTTTTTATTTATTCATTTATTTATTTATTTATTTATTTATTTATTTATTTATTTATTTATTTATTTATTTATTTATTTATTTAAGTACACACAGTGTTAACAAAGGCTATTATAAAACGTGAACACAGATCTCCTTTAAAATACTTATAAGCGACAAGAGAATCGTATTCACAATAAACTACTTGTTCTTTACCAAAAGATCTCATTGTCCTTTGTAAACAGATACATTACATATCATGAAAATAAAATTCATGCATATTCTGACTATAGCTATAGTTTTCTTTGTTTAAATAACTTGATTTGTACAGTTGCTAACTTTAAAGTCACCAGAATTTTTTTTACTTTTCATAAAAGTTAACATAGTAGATCTTTACGCATACTGCTTTCAAGCAACGCAAACGAGCCGATATGACCCAGCTGGTTGCATATTACTTCTTTTGAATTCCCTTCATGATAAAGTGTAGTTATTTTTGTCTGACATTTGATATCTTTAATATTTATCCGGTTGACATGTTGTCTACCTTACTTTCAAAACAAAGTGTATCAACTTTTTAAACGCCACCAATTTGGCGGTGGAATGACCTTCAGGTGTGTACGTGAGCCAAACTTAATTGAAAATGCCAGACTAACATTAAGCTTTTGCTCACCTGCCATGATGTTACACAGGTTGTTCTTTAGTTTTCTCACCTCTTCCAGTAGAGAGGGCATTAAAACTTAATTATTAAATGTGACACTGGAAGGAAACCATAGTTTAATTATACTCATTGTAATGTTATAGTGTTAACACTAATATCAAAAATTTCTGTCAATATGTTTATGTATCTATTTGCCCACCAATACACCCATATGCAAAAACCTACTGTGACATACTTAGTAACTGGTATATAAATTATGTTTTATCCGTTGATAACGGATTAGAATTTTGATGATTAAAGCAGTAAAGTTTGTCTAATTTTGCTAAATACACTTAAAGTTCTGTATTCTTAAACTATTAGGTCGCTGTGTAACCGGAAGATATTATGCTGTGATAAAACTTTTTTTAAAACAGCCACACTGTTGAAATACTAATATTAAAAACATCAAAAGGTTTCCTATTTCTTTTTTATATTTCTCGAAAGTCTCAGTCCAGACCATATTCTATACTTCCGCTTAAGTATGTACCGAGTGACTTTTGTATAGAGTGCACTTACATCTGTGTTGAGGATCACATGGGGCACATGTATAATCGAAAGTTTACGAAAGCAACGTTCTACATGTTTCTTAAACAAAACAGTATACTAATATTAAATTAATTACAGCAGAAAATTAAAGGAAATGTTTTTCCACGTTAGATGTTCTCCTTTTATGAATATGCAATGCTCATTGCGACCCTTTTGTGGTCCCCATATATCGCTATATTTACCAATATGTTTAATATCATGTTTAAAACAAGGAGGGACAAGAGTACAAAATGAAGATTGTGAGCCGGACATTTTTTTTAAAACCTTAATGGTTTGGTGCACCAATAACTGGTTTAAACTCCCCAACAGTGCTTATGCTGCTGACCGTTCAAAGGCAGCGCCCCTCTGCGTTCCTCTGAGGTCTTTGTTGTTTCCTACTGTTCTGGTGATACTCCTTTGTTTGTGTCCTTTGTTGTTTTCTCGTCTACGTAAGTATCCTTATTTTGGCCCTTAGTTTAATTTTTTAATAATTTGCCCCTCCCTTCCCCAAATCTCGAGTCCCGTTCTCCTGTTGCCGTTTTACTTTGTAGGTCAATCAATCAATCAATCAATCAAATCAATTATGTGTTTTCTTAAATTTCCTTAATGGTTTCTTTTATGTCTTTTTAAGTAACATTTATGTGATTATTCTGTTCGTGCTCTGTCTTGCGCCCTGTCCTATTTTGTTTGGGGTCCTCCAGGGCTCCTTGCCGCTAGTTCTTGTTGCTTGGTCGTTTGGGGGTTGCGTTCATTGAACTCCGCCTTCCCTTGTTGATCTTGTTTATCATATTTAATGATCAGATCGTGTTTTTTTAAAGGAAATCACTATAGACTTTATCTGAAAGAATTCATGAGTACCGCGTTAATAGACAAAGTTTATTACCGTACAAATAATTACAAAGTTTGTCGTAGAATTTGCATTTTTTAAAGTAACACGATCGGGGATTATCGATATCAGTATGTAAGTGTTGAGATTGCAAAACTGCTTAAGTCTGTGCTAGGGGGGATGGGAGATGTTACACTTTAACATTATCTGTTATGAACAGACATCATCAAATCAAGCCTGCAATGTCCCCATACGATATTCTTTCTTCCGAGGTAGCACTTCTTTTTAATATTTTACTATCATTATCTGAGAATGCAAAAAAGTATTTAACATACATTTGCAACAGTTATTTGGTTAATAAAGTATTTATAGATTTTTATTCAGTGCAACGGTTGTTGAGCCGCCCTCTTTCGAACAATAACCTCTTTTCAGCAAAGATATCAATTCGTCCAAAAACACGTCAACAAAATAAAATTTTCTCTTCCAAAAGTTGTTGCTCTGAAGATATTGTACAGTATCAAAAAATCACCAATAATCAACATTTTGAATAATCATTATAATTTCTATTTTCAGAGTCAACAAAAAGTCATCAATATGACATATGTATTCCGAGTTCTAACCTGTTACCTACTTGTGAACTTCGTTGTTATAAACGCACAAGGTATATGTCTTTTTTAGTAATATGCAACAAAAGTTAATTCTTATTCAAGTCTACGTAGTGATATTTTATTCCGTGCTATGTATATCTACAAGTTTTGAAGAGCACAAAATATGGAAAGCCTTGACTGTCTTATGATTATAAACCTGAACATTGTTATGTCCAAATAGCAATATATTGAGTCAACCTTTCCTTATACAAGGTGTACTCATCAATATATTATGTGGATCCATCTTTATATGTAGTCAACTGAGAATATATGATGTCAATGTGTCTTTCTATGATGTCAATATATCATTATACGATGTGCATTTTTGAATATGTTATGTGGAACCATCCTTATATAAGGTCAAAAACAATATATTATGTCAGTCTGTCCTTATATGATGTCAGTCTGTCATTATATGATGTGAAGTTATGAATATATTATGTTGAATAATAATTATATTGAGTCAACATTATATGATGTCAATGTCTCCTTATATTATGTCAATCTATTAATATACGCTGTGCATTTTTCAGTATATTATGTACAATCGTCTTTATATAGAGTCAACTTAACAATATATGATGTAAATGTGTCCTTATATGATGTAAATCTTTCATTATACGATGTGCATTAATGAATATATTGTGTGGAACCATCTTTATATAGAGTCAAAATAACATTATATTATGTAGAACAGTCTTTATATAGAGTCAACTTAACAATATATGATGTCAACACGTCCTTATATGATGCCAATCTTTCATTGTACGATGTGCATTTATGAATATATTATGTGAAACCATCTTTATATACAGTCAACTTAACATTATATGATGTCAACACGTCCTTATATGATGCCAAGCTTTCATTAAACGATGTGCATTAATGAATATATTATGTGAAACCATCTTTATATAGAGTCAACTTAACATTATATGAGGTGTATCTGGGATGTATGAAATATGATATTTTCAAATATTTTCATACCATAAAATGACAATAAATCGTGTATTTCTAGAGAAAACATGAATTTTCTGTTTATTATATACATTTTTCTATTTTTTGACATTACACTTTGAAAGTCTTAATTAAGAAGAAAGTAGTCCAGCAAGACAACAGTGAAAATACGGAAAATAAGTTTCACTGCATTGAAAATAAAATTTTAAAGTGAAGTGAAAAAACGGAAAATAGAAATACACCTTTTATTTTATCAATATTTCTCAATATTTATGATTAAATTGTGCACACGTCTTATTTTGTTTTAAATGACAAAAAAGGTTTTATGAGTTGAGTGTTTGTGTTGTTTGTTTGTGGTTGTTGTATCTTCTTTTTTGTTCTTGCTTTTTATAACAACGTCGCGAAGGCAATTTTTACAAGGAAAATGTGTTAGTTTCCAATTTTGATATGTACAGCTTTAAATCTATGATCATCACCAATGTCGATACTTATGTTTTAGGAATGCTGTTTTCAAAGTGTATTCCAGATATTATCAGTTAATGAAGTTTTTCAGCATGCAGGTATTGAAAATTTATATTAAAAGTAAAAGTTTAAAAGAAACGTATTATTTTACTTTTTTAGCTGACGTTTCTAATAAAACATGTACACATAATGATAACTGTACCAGCAATGCGATATTTTGGCCGATAGCTGCAGTTGTGACGCAGGATTTACTGAAAATTGGAATGTTTGCAAAGGTATTGCCTGAAATTTAATTTTATTTTGTAAAAATGTATTAAAGGAACGCTTTGTGTGAAAGAAAAAAGTTGTCTAAGAGTTGAGATTTCCAAACAGTTTAACATCACAATTAAACCGGAAAGGAAAAAAAACTGATTTTTTTTGTTTGACATATTTCTCAAATTGATTAATCACCTATTATTATTTGATGGTACACATATCTTACTTTTTAAACAAAAAAAGATGTAAAATTGTTATTTTATGTAGTAAGTATGTTCCGATTTTTTATTTTTCAAGCTGATGTTTCTAGTACACCATGTACACATAATGAAAATGCAACTTGTTTCGCCGATATCAGCAGCTGTGATACAGGATTTACGGAAAATAGGAATGTTTGCGAAGGTATTATACCCGCATGCTAAAGAACATTTTTTCTTATGATTTATAAATTATACTTTGAGATGAGGATTCCTTTAACAAAATTATTGTTTTTTACTTCAAAATGATTGAATCCAACTGAAGTAAAATATACAGATTTAAAGTTCGACAAACGAAGATTGGAAAATTGTGACAAATAACACATTTTCCTCGTAAAGATTGTTTTCTCGACTTCTAAAAAAGAAGAAGAAAGAAATAAACAAAGGAACAAAAACATGAAAAACGGCGTCAACTCATAAAACTTTTCAATATCTTTTTCAAAAAAAAAAAGATAAAACGATTATTGTGTACATAATAAAGGGGGGTTAATTCATACACAGGTATTGCTTTGTATTTTATGATAAACATATTTTATTTAACTGTTCAATAATAAGAATAATTTTGACATAACTCTGGACATTGCCGCTTTATTTGACATAAGTCACATAATACCTTCGCAAACATTCCTATTTTCCGTAAATCCTGTATCACAGCTGCAGATATCGGCGAAACAAGTTGCATTGCTGGTACAGTTATCATTATGTGTACATGGTGTACTAGAAACATCAGCTTGAAAAATAAAAAATCGGAACATACTTACTACATAAAATAACAATTTTACATATTTTTTTGTTTAAAAAGTAAGATATGTGTACCATCAAATAATAATAGGTGATTAATCAATTTGAGAAATATGTCAAACAAAAAAATCAGTTATTTTTCCTTTCCGTTTTAATTGTGATGTTAAACTGTTTGGAAATCTCAACTCTTAGACAACTTTTTTCTTTCACACAAAGCGTTCCTTAAATACATTTTTACAAAATAAAATTAAATTTCAGGCAATACCTTTGCAAACATTCCAATTTTCAGTAAATCCTGCGTCACAACTGCAGCTATCGGCCAAAATATCGCATTGCTGGTACAGTTATCATTATTTGTACATGTTTTATAAAAAACGTCAGCTAAAAAAAAGTAAAATAATACGTTTCTTTTAAACTTTTACTTTTAATGTAAATTTTCAATACCTGCATGCTGAAAAAACTTTATTAACTGATGATATCTGGAATACACTTTGAAAACAGCATTCCTAAAACATAAGTATCGACATTGGTGATGATCATAGATTTAAAGCTGTACATATCAAAATTGGAAACTAACACATTTTCCTTGTAAAAATTGCCTTCGCGACGTTGTTATAAAAAGTAAGAGCAAAAAAAGAAGAAACAACAACCGCAAACAAACAACAAAAACACTCAACTCATAAAACCTTTTTTGTCACTTAAAACAAAATAAGACGTGTGCACAATTTAATCATAATGCATAATGGGGTACTAATCCATATGATCATTTGAAACAAAACTGCATTTTGAAATCAGTCATCTTTCCCGTTTAAAGTGTTCCTTCGCAAACATTGCCATTTTCAGTATATCCTAAGTCACAGCTGCAACTACCGGCTGAACAAATTGCATTGCTGGTAAAGTTATCATTATGTGTACATCTTGTAGTAGAAACGTCAGCTATAAATGTAAGGAATCTGAACATACTTATTACATGAAATTGCTTAAAACACATTGCATCTTGATGGTAACTGGAGATAAGAGCCATTTTAATATACACGTAGTTCATAACAGTACGAAAAACAAGGACAGCTTTTGGCTTTGCAAATTGAATTTTCGTTCATCTAACTATTTTAATGAAAGATGTCATTGACAAGAAAGAAATAATGTCATAGAATGGTGGAATTATTGTTTAGTTTAAAAAATACATGTTAAAAACACTGCATGCAAGAAAACATTACATTTAAAATAAATGTCATACAATGAAAATCATTTTACTTTACCTAATTCATAAATAATCTGTTTGACATACAAATATAATTAAGACAATACCTTCGCAAACATTCCCATTTTCAGTAAATCCTGTGTCACAGCTGCAGATATCGGCTGAACAAATTGCATTGCTGGTACAGTTATCATTATGTGTACATGTTTTATTAGAAACGTCAGCTAGAAATGTAAGATACGGAACATATTTATCATTTGAAATTGCTTCAAACTCATTATACCTGTATATTGCTCGTAATTAAGTTGCTATTTAGTCCGTTTTTGTTTTATTTTTTACTTTTAATAAGAGGCAGTGAAAGGTTCCATCACGTTAACGTGAAATTAAAAACCTCAGTGACCTATAATTTACTTTTTTTTACCGAGACATCAATATGCAAACATCAAGCTCCGTGGACCTGAAATCACCTCGCAATTGGATGTTCACTTTCAGTGGTGCAAGACAAAAAAGAAAGGATAAATTAAATTATCATAAACAGATATCCATGGAGATGAGCGCCATTATCATATATGTGGCTACTTTTCGGAAGTCCGTTCAGATGCTCAAAACAAAAAAAGATCACCGCATATGCGTTGCAATATACAACCGGATGCAAATCTGTTTTAAGTATTCAAAAATAATTTATGAATAAAGAGGAAACCCATTTTTACATTTGACTGGAACATGATTTATTTCAATTATCAATATTAACATCTAAATTGATATATGCTTGTCACATACATAACTAGAGATAATTATATATGCTACAGTTTTCACTGTCGAGTACAGACCAGACCCCATGCATGTCATGTCCTTAAAGGGCTAATTTCGAAGCACAGAGTGATGATAATTTACCTCCATGCAATTATCACGGAGTAAATATACTGCCTGAAAACAACAATAATGTTGGTTTTTAAATTATGAAAATTCAAAGAAACATACACTTAATATTAATGAGAAATTCAAAAGCACAAACTATTATGCCTAAAAAAAGTAAGGAAAAAAAACAACAAAATGCTTTGCTTACAATTTTTTTCTGTTTTTAATACCTCCCTTACCATTTATAGCATCAATACTCACACAATCATCCAACTGATTATTC